TGCAACCTTGATCCTCAACTTCCAAATCTCATGCCAATCACCGCACTCAATCGTGCCAATGCGCAAGAGCACCGAAAATCTCAACATAACTCCGGAACCACTAATAGGGTAAACACTTTATCATATAGAAACATTTTACTTAGCTCATTTCAAGAGAACCAATGCAACACGCAGCCAAATTCCCATAAACCACAGAAAATACAAACCTCGAGTAGTGGTTTAAACCACTATAATCCTTCCGGGATCCGTCTACACATAACATGCCATAATGCTCGAATGCCCCCAAATAAAAACAATTACGGCGGCCGTCAAACCTTACACGTACCACCACAAATCACATGCACACCTCAACACGCCGAAAGAGATGATCATTGCCATCACCATGGCAATTCAACCATTTCTTACCAAACCCGACTTCTCCTAATTTACTTTGGATCTTCCTTAGAAATAACAACAACTCCTTTATCATAATCCGCTCTAAAAGCTCGATATTCAACCATACTATGGACTCGAAATCCTTAGACACCACACCTTAACTTTTGAATCTACTAGGACCGTTATTGAGAGTCACCCACTATGACTTGGTCCCAAATATAATCAACTCCAAGGCTCTTCTAGCACATGATCACCCTCTCAAGGAAACACCTGACTGAATCACCTTTCTTGTAAATCACCTCTACACGAAGCGTAAATCCTAAGTCTTCCCAAGCCTAAATATAAATCGTTTAAGGCCAACTATAGCATACATTCCTCAAATCGCTTGCTCAAATTACCACTGATGTTCTCATTCCTTAGTCGTAACAACCCATCAATATGCTGATACCTATAAATCTTACAAATAGACGACCATGCAATCCAACTGTAGGCGGTGGGACTCTCCCACTTAGCTTGGAGCTACTATTTCATAAACCTGGAACCCACCAAGATTCTTCCTTCATCGACATGATCTAGCATAATCAACCAGCCAAATTCCTTGAAATCCTTCCATTAACCTTTAATGAACACTCCGAACTACTATCCATATTTACATATTCAATCTTTTACCGGGTAGCCAGTAGAATTCTTCGCAGAAGCTTCATCAACACCATGCGACCACTAATCCTGCTCACAGGAGATAACCCACCTGTGAAAATTCCATGCCGACATCTTCCAATAATGCTGCACCGAGTACAATAACCATAAAGCCAATAAACCATCCTTAGCCCATGCTCGTTCACCAGCTGTACAAGTTCGTTCACTCCGCATGGACATTAACTAAAGGTGCGACAATATATTCCAATCCAAAGTCATGTTGTATCCTTCTTCATATCAAGCAGCTCCCTCCTGTCACACCCAATCATCCTTAAATATAGCAGCAAATACTCCAAATTAAGCCCGTAGACCTAGTCACTGCCCACCATGAAACCAAAATCACTCTAAACTTTCTCAAGGCGTGTAGCTATCCTATTATAGAACCCACATACTACTCTGCCACTCTCCCACTTTGGTCAAACTCACTCCTTTAAGTAACTACCCAACTCCTATTTTTCACACTTGGCCTTCTATTAGTTTGGCCATCACAAGACACCTCTCACATGTCCTTCGTCATCCTTCGCTGCCTAGTTGTTTCCTTAAATCAAAATCTACCTCTGTAGCACTTGAACCGATCGATCGCTACTAACTTTAAACCTTTTCGAAGATCATCCTCCGTGAGCCCTCAACACTCGTACCACCGATTAAGTCCTGAACCACCGCACATTGCGATCTCTGACAGCATCTTTCTCGGCACCATTTATAATACTCTGCCCCAAGGCGAATTGAAGGAAACCATAACACTGGCGAACTTAACACATTATGACCAATCAAGGACAATGACGCCACCTCATAGGAGAGGATTCCACCACGCTCGAAAATATCGAGTCCCACTACTCCATGAACCCAAGTCTGAACATTCTTAGTTCGATTGCCTTTCCTTCGCCGGAAATAAAATACTGAATCTCTGAATCATGCACTGAGTAAACCTCCTTTCAAGTCATTCACTGCCCCGAGACATAAGCAAGCATTCTACCATCACATCAATACTGTGCGATAACAATTCATGAGCATTATAGCAACCTGTGCATAGCCTCAAAGCTCTCACAAGTACAACTACTGAGCTGAAATGACAGAATATCCTTCCACAAGGCGACGACAATAACCCCATCAACTACGCAGGGAGAAACATCCTGCACCACATCTGTAGTACCATTACAATTCCTCAATTCTCGATTGATAGTAAGCTCTTCATGTCACATAAGATTGAATGGGAAGAAAATAAAGGCATAAGCCTCAAAGGAATCAAATAGCACGATAGGAATCAAGAAGGGAAGTGCTCCTAACAGCCCTGTAGCCTCTTGAAGATAAGTACATACGTCTCCGTACCGATCCGCAAGACTCTACTAGACTCGCTCATGACTCGTGAGACCTAAGTAAACCTAGTGCTCTGATACCATCTTGTCACGACCCAAAATCCGTTAAAGGTCGTGATGGCACTGGGCACCACTGTCAGTCAAGCCAACACTAAATAGTTAATTAAATTCTCGTTTTAATATTTTTAAAATCATAAATTCACTTCAATTTATCCAGTAAAAGATGAATTTACAGAATAATAACAATGTTTTCCAAATTTCAATACTGAACATCCCATAATCATCCCAGAACCCGCTGTCACAGGTGCATGAGCATTTTCAAGGAATTTAAAATAAAATACAATAATTGTCCGAAATACAATTTGGACAGGAAAGAAAATATAATACTCTGAAGGAGACTCTGCTGGCTGCGAGTCGTACATAAGATGCAGCTCACCTAAATCCCAGTAATAACCACGCCTCTGCACCCACAAGGCCACTAATCATATATGTTCCTGCACAAAACGTATAGCAAGTGTAGTATGAGTACGTAAATCAACGCGTACCCAGTAAGTATTGTGCCTAACCTCGATGAAGTAATGACGAGGGGTCGACTTCGACACTTACTCAGGCATGGCCCCAAATCGCCGAACGACGCGCTAGAGCTTAAAACGACTGATCGGGTCGTTACATCCTTATTCATCTCTTATAGTCATGGTTAAAAATAAAGATGGTATTTGGAGACTTTGTATTAATTATAGACAGTTAAACAACAACACTATCATGGAAAAAATTCCAATACATGTTATTGATGAGCTATTAAATGAACTAGGGGATTCCAAATACTTTTCTAAGCTAGACTTAAGGTCTGGCTACCACCAAATTAGAATGGATGAAAGAGATATTGAAAAGACAGCCTTCAGATCACACAATGGACACTATGAATTTGTAGTTATGCCGTTTGGATTGACTAATGCCCCCTCCACCTTTCAGAGTTTGATGAACACAGTCTTTCAATCTTAATTGAGGAAATTTATCCTAGTGTTCTTTGATGATATATTAGTATACAAGCCCTCTTGGTCAGATCACCTAGTGCATTTGGAGCACACACTCAAACTCTTACATGACAATTTCTTATTTGTTAAATTAAGAAAATGTCAGTTTGGTCAAACAGAGCTAGATTACCTAGGACATGTGATTACTCAAGAAGGGGTAACTCACTACTGGAAAATGGCAGAATTTTGACCGCCAAAAAGGTCAGAAATTGGTCGAAAATCACGAATTTCCGACTACATTCCGACCAAAAATGGTCGGTCAGAAAACAGTTGGTCGGAAAATAATTTCCGACCGAATCCGTCTGTGATTTCCAACCAAAGTAGTCGGAACGTTCAAAAGGTCAGACGACCAAATATTTTTATATTTCCGACCAAAGTGGTAGCAATTTACCGACCGAATCAGTCGTAATAATATAAATAAAAATAATTATTTATTTAAAATTAAATAATATAAATATATAATTTCCGACAGAATTGGTCAAAAATTAATAATTAAAAAATAATTTTAATATAATTTCTGACAGAATCCGTCGAAAACCTTTAATTATTAATTTTTTTAAAAATTTCCAACCGAATCGGTCGAAAATCTGGGAATTTTTGGCAAAATCAGGGCAGTTATCCAACTGTTTCCATCGAAAGTCAGTCGGAATTTTCTGTAAAACTGGGCAGCATTCTGCCCAATTTTGAGCTACTCCACCTGTCAAACTATTACAATAAAATAACGCTAACAACCAATCAACCATTAACACAATTTAAACCAACAATACCAACCATTAACACAATCTAAACCAACAATACCAACCATTAACATAAGCTAAACCAACAATACCAACCATTAACACAACTTAAACCAACAATACCAACTATTAAACCTAACAATTTTGGACATAAAAACATCCAAATAGTAGCCCACATTCAAGTTTAAAAATAAAACATAAAGTTGTCTCTCACAATCAAGTTTACCAATCAACCAAAACACCACACCTAAACTACTACACATCAGATTCAGTTTGTTCATCCTCATCATCAGATAGATCATGCCCATGTTTTCTCATGAATTTCTGTATCTTAACAAATGTTCCGAATTGGGAGTCCAATTGTTGCTTCAAATCACGAATTTTCTTTCTCATATCTTCCATTTGTTCTTGATTTTGAAAAGAAGAAGAATTGGCTAAGAGTGGGTTTGGATGACCTATAGGTCGACGTACTCCAAGTCCGTAGACTCTGCCTTTGTTTACTCTACCCGGTGGCTCTGTCCACAATGAAGCCATATCATCAGGTGTTGGTTGAGTTGAAGGAGGCTGAGTTTGTTGCCATTCTTCCACCCTTTTATGATAATCTTCCTGAAATAAAAACATAACTATTATGTAAACAAACTAATATTAATAAACCATAAATAATATTAATAAACATCTTAAAGTTTCAAAAGTTTTAATTTTAAATAAATATTCCTTAATGTTAACATATGTAAAAGTACATTCAAAACTTATAAAATAGTATAAGAACCTTCTTACCCATCCTCGTAGGGGACGATTATCAATCGATTATAACTATCAAATTGCACATCCCCTTCAAGATTCTACCTGCATCTACTAGATGGTGCAGAAGCAGCACATGATGTAGTTGGGCGAGAGCCTCCAATATCCAACCTAGATATGCTGGGAATAGATGATGATGATGATGGACTGGAAGATGATGAAGCAACAAAAGACGACCCATCATGCTGACTACCATGAAAGCTCGGGGATGTAGCAGTTGGTGAGCCACCATACTGACTACCATGAAAGCTCGGGGGTGCAGCAACTGGTGGGCCAGTATGCTGACTACCGTAAAAGCTCGGGGGTGCAGTAGTTGGTGAGCCACCATGCTGACTACCATGAAAGCCCGGTGAATATGATGGTATAGAAGGTGTGGGTATAAAGTTAAAAACAGTGTTACTTTGACTTCCTTTGGTAGACATAGAATAATACTAAACTGAATTATTAGATGGAGGGGGGATAGTGAACATGGTAGATGGAAATGAAGTCGACTGAGGAGGATGAGGAAGAGGAGGACTCATATTTGGGATACTTGAGGAAGTTGGAACAAATTATTTTTTCTTCTTAGATTTCATCTTTTCCTTCCCCTTAGATGCCATATCTGTAATATAATCATAATAAAATATAAAACAAAAAATACAACAAGTGACAGTAAATATAAAATAATTATTCTACAAATTAAACGACTAAAGAAATAAATAAATAATCTAACAAGTCATAAAAATATAAAATAATTTTGCAACATAATAGATAATTAAAGGAATAACATAAAATGTTTAACATGTCATAAAAGAAACATACAATAATTCTTCAAATATATTAAATGATTGAAGGAAGAACAACCTAAAAAAGAATAACAAGTCAATCCTCATCGCTATCTTCATAGTAATCATCTAAGTTTTCATCATCGTCTGTTTCACTTTCATCTAGTAATTCTTCCTCATCACTTGTTTCATTGTTCAACACCTCATTTGGTCCAAGGACAGAAGAATCAAAATTTTCATATATCCCTTCATTATGCTGTAATTCATCTGCTAATTCATCATCCACTATTGATTCAACATTTGAAATGTCATTCTGGTACGCCACATCTAATGCATCTTCGACTACCACTTTACCCATGAGCTTTGTTTTCAAAACTACCCGCCATGCAGACTTATTCTTGCTCAAAGGATAAGGTGCATAATACACTTGTTTCACCTTTTATTGTAATGATAAGGGGATCATAAAGTCTGTATTGCCCCGTGTGTTTAATTTCAACTATTTTATACTGAGCGTGCACTTTTGTACCTCTATTCGGTGTTGGATCATACCATTTATATTGAAAGAGTACCAACCTTTTTCTTCGGCCAACCTACAGTATACTCCAATTCTAAAATCTCTTGAAGCACACCATAATAATCAACATCCCCATAACCTTTCACCCACACCCCACTATTGTTGGTTTTCTTTCCATTAGACCATTCTTCTGTATGAAACTTGTACCCATTGACCAAGTATTTAGACATCATTATGACTCTAGGGTCAGGTCCCCAAGCTATATCACGTAAAAATGGGTCATTAATGTCATTAGCTGGATCATGAACCTATATATATAATTAAATATAATTTAGAATTTTAAAGAGCATTAATCCATATTCTAAATAATATAAGTCTTTAAATATAATAATTAAATTTGAATAGCTTCTTAAATGTTCATATAATCCAAATTAACTAATGATTTCTCAAACAAAAGAAATAGTCGTAATTAACAATTATTTTAAACTATTTCAACATATTAAAATTAAAGAATTCAAATGGAATATAAAAATTAAGGCATTTAATTTAAAGAGCATAATTATTTAATATAAAGTAAAATAAATTCAAATATTTGGGATCTACAATAACAATTATGCAAAAAAAAAAATGGACTAATCTACAACAATAATTTAATAATTTAATGGATGAAAATGATAATAGATTTCAATTAAAGCTTAATTCCATGAAAGTCAAAAGATATTAAAAAATTTAGAAGTAAGACATATTGTCAAAAGTAGTCAACTAGCACTAAGAGTTTTAATAGACTCCTCATACTTTCTCTTCTTAAAATTAGTACCCTCCCCAATATAATCAAATGAGATGAATTGCTATATATGTAACAACTCTACAAATTAGTTAGCAAAATTATTTAGTAAAATTATCCCCAACTTGGTAATGTTATCCCCAAATTAGTATGTAATTTACCAACATATAACTTTAACATATAAATTTAATTTAGCAATATATAACTCTAAATTACCAACATATAACTTTAACATATAACCCTAAATTACCAACATATAACTTTAATTTAGCTACTAACAATAATCATAGATTTACTTTAGCTAACACCAATCAATTTTTACAAACCAAACTAGGAGCAATTAAACAAAATTACTGTATTTAAAAAATAATAACAAAGGAGGATGAGGGAAACCTACCTGGCAGTG